GGGAATTCACGCCTGTGGACCAGTGGAGAAGGGGGCCAGGGGGTCGAGTCCAGACTGATGGGGCTGTTGCGGTGCCCTCATACTGTCTGCCGGCTCATGTGTGGGCGGAGACAGCTCCCCCATGCCATGCTTGCTTCCTCTACCCGACTATTCCTCCCCTTCACCTGCACCTCAACCTCTCTTCTTCTCCTAATCCCTCTTCTTTCCCCTCCCCTACTTCCCCTATTCCCCGCCTCCCCTTCCCCCTCCCCACCTCTGCGCATTCACCCCACAGATTCTGGTGCTGCCGCCGTACCAGGCCATGGGGCACGGGTCACGGCTGCTGAACCTGGTGCACGAGGTGGCGTGCCGCATGCACGCGTACGACATCACGGTGGAGGACCCCTCTGACGCCCTGCAGGAGCTCAGGGAGGCGCTCGACTGCCTGCGCCTGCTCGCCCTGCCCTCGGCGGCTGCTGCGCTGCAGTCCGCTGTGTCTAGGGTCACGCAGTTCGTCAGCGCCCGCCTCCCGAGTCATGCCGTGCCTCCTGCTGCTGCTCCTGCTGCTGCTGCTCGTGGTGCTGGTGCTGGTGCTGCGCCTGGTGATGGAGATGGTAGTGGTAGTGGTGCTGCTCCTGCTGCTGCTGCTGGTGGTGAGGGAGAGGAGGAGATGAAGGAGAGCAAGGATGGTGAGGTAACTGAAGCCAAGGATAGGGAGAAGGGGCCGGAGGAGGGGGAACAAGCAGAAGGAAAAGACGGAGAAACCGAGGGTGGCGAGCACAAGGTCGAGGAGGAGGAGGAGGAGGAGGAGGAGGAGGAGGAGGAGGAGGAGGAGGAGGAGGAGGAGGAGGAGGAGGAGGAGGAGGAGGAGGAGGGGGAGGGGGAGATCAGCGAGGCAATAACAGCGATGGAATCCCTCCTTGCGTTACCCGAGAGCATGGTGGAGGACGCGCGGGAGAAGCTGCACCTGAACAAGCAGCAGGTGGTGCGGTGCTGGGAGGTCCTGCTGTTCCTGCAGCTGCCGTCCACAGGCAGCGCTGGCAGGCGCGCGTGGAAGCGGCTGGTCACCAGCCGCATCAAACTGGAAGAGCTGGGAGTGAAGAGCGTGCTGGGGAGAGCACGTGCGGGGGGTGCTAGGAGAGCGCTGGACCAGGAGGGCGGTGAGGGGGAAGGGAACGGGGAGGTGGGTGGGGGTGCGGGTGGGGATGGGGGGGGTGGTGATGAAAGGCGGAGCAGGAGGCGGAGGAGGGGCAGGAGAGGGTGGGAGAAGCGGGTGATGGACCTGCCTGTGTTTGAGAACGACAAGCAGATGTTCTTCATGTGCCGCCTCCCGCCTGTTGCCGACGCACTGGGAGAGTGCAAGGAAGGGGACGGGCAGGGTAGTGACAGCGTGGCAGGGAAACGGGCAGGCGCCGATGCTGACAGGGCCAGTGCTGACCCTGTTGTGGGTGGCAGCGGCAACAACATGAGCAGTAGAGTGGTGGTTGGTGCGGGGGTGGAGGAGGATGAGAGCACAAAGAAGGCTCTTCTGGAGTTTGTTGCAGACAGGGAGGAGCAGGTGGTGGCTGCGGCAGGGATTGTGCAGAAAGTACTGAAGAGAGTGGGGGAAGGAGAGGGTGCAGGGGCAGCATTAGCAGGAGCAGGTGCTGCTTGGTCAGCAACAGTGGTGTTGTAAGCTTTTTTCCAACAGGGTAGTGAACAGTGGAAGGATATGAGCAGGGGAGCAGCGGAATTGTGTTGGGTTTGGGGTGGAGGGATGTGAAGTGGTTGTGTATGCCCATGACCTGAGCAATTTTCTTTGGATTGCCCGACGTCTTCTGGAATGTTCTTTTTTCCAGCCATTGTATGGCTAATTTCTTCAAGTTCCCATTTCGGTTGTACTTTGTTCGGTACTTGCATTTGTTGCATATGGAGCACCTGAGTGTTTTTCTGCACAATTGGGTTGTGCAGCATAACGAGGCCCGTACGAAATTCCTTGAAATTCCGACGGCGACGGGTGGAACCGCACTGTTGCACTTTACCAACCAGCACACACCACGCCTGATGGATGGGACGTGGGCGCGTGCACGTATGCGCAGTAGGGACCAGCTCAAAAGCAGGCGGAGGGGGAAATGGGGCCTGGGCTTCTTGCGGGGATGATGGACACCGACAGTGCAATTTTTCGACGGGCGGAGAGAGCGGCTGAGCCGAAAAAGCGATTTGGATCTCTTGTGTGGGCGACAGAAAGCAGTTGATCGGCGCAGGCAACGAGGGTCGCCGGCGGCAAGGGTGGCAGGCTGAACGACCAATGAGTGGCGATTGACGTGTCGCACCAAGTTTCGCGAGGACCTGCCCGAAAGTGCTTCGAAGCCTGATCGAATTTCGACCTTGACCCCGCGGAACGCATTTCCATCAATCTTTGCTCGGCTCTTGCGAGAGTGAAAGCGAAACCGAACGTAACTCAGTGCACGGACCTTGACATTTGAACCGAAGCAAACGCCCCAAAATTCAGCTTGAACCAGAGCAACCCGAATTATTCGTGCAGTGGCGATCTGGTCCGGGCGCCCATGCGATCACGACGTACAGTACGATAACATTTCAGCAACACCTGCCGACAACTTGTAATTTGGGGGTGGGTCTGGTACTGTAGTTGAGGCAGTCGAGCGCCTCGGGGAAGCCGCTGAGGCCACGCGAGTCGCGCAGTCGCTGCCTGCGTTTCGATTGGACTCCAGCCAGGAGGACCGAAATCAAGGCGAGGGATTTCCTGCAGTGCCTGCCCTGCCCTTCCCAGCTCCCCCCGGCACAAGTCCAATGCTCCTCACATCTTGCCCCTCCCATCCCGTCGCATCTCAGCTTGTCTCGTGTCTCCTCACATCGTCCCGACTCCTCGTCGCGTCCCACTTCAACCTGCCGACTCTTCTTGCTAACTACTATTACCACGCGTCTGGCTACTACCTGTACAAAGCTTGGGTGCTCCCACGTTTCAGCATTCTGCTTTCAACTCAAGTCGCTGAGAGTATACGAGACGGGGGGTTGAGCGAGGACGTTATCAGTAGTACCACTAGCGTTAGTAGCGCCGCAATCAATGCGGATTCGTGTCGTATAAGCCATGCAGGAAGAGAGCGAAGCTCACTCGGGCGAAAACGGCGAGTCACCGCACACGTCGTCCCGCCGCGCCGACTCCCCCAGCGCGAACGCGAACTCCCCGTCGCTAGAAGAATCTGACGGGGAGCCCATCGCAATCGACGCAACGGACGATACTAGAGCTTCGCTTCAACTCCAACGCGACCCACACCCTCAACTACCGCCCCTCGCTCCTCGCGAACCCACCGATCGCTCTAATCCATCACAGCCCGCCGTGGCGGAAGGACCCCATAGTGCTACAGATAATAATAATGATAGGCCCGTCGCGTACCGCGGGGTGAGGCAGCGGCGATGGGGTAGATGGGTGACAGAAATCCGGGAGCCGGTACGGGGCCAGCGGATATGGCTCGGATCGTACGACACTGCGGAAGAGGCCGCGCGCGTGTACGACATGGCCGCGCGACTATTACGCGGGCGCTCTGCCCGGCTGAATTTTCCCGGGCAGCAGGTGCTGCCCGTGGCCCTTCCGCGAGGCACGGCGGAAATTCTGCTTGAGGCGAGCCGGGAGGCTGCTCGTCGGACGCAGCGGAGACAGCAGCAGCGGCAGCAGCACAGGGGACAGCAGCAGCAGCAGCAGCAGCAGGCTGCACGCTCGTCGCAGTCGCTGCCGCTTCCACCGCCACAGCAGCAGCAGCAGCAGCAGCAGCAGCAGCAGCAGCAGCAGCCGCACGTAGAGCAGGCGCATCGCATGCAGCAGGCATGGGGACCGGCATCAGGAGCAACGGCAGCAGCCGAAGCGGCAAGTGGAGAGCCTGACTCACAGCACCCGCAGGTAGTAGCATCACCTGGAGTACGCCGGACGGTGACGCCGCCGACTTTTGCCGCGGGGCAACTAGAGGCAGCAGACGGAGGAGTGGAACCGACAGGGACAGGGGCAGAGTCTAGCGTGCTCTCGTCGCACATTCAAGCCTTGGCGCGCATTGCGGCGATGCATTCCAGTGACACTGGAGACCCGTCCTCTCAACCATTACTGACCAGTGCTACTACAGCTGCTGTCGCCAGTTCTCCACCCCTCCCGCACGACGCACAGCCAGCCTTCAGCACGTCCCAGGTCGGAAACACCCCGGCAATGGGTTTTCCTAGTAGCATCCCCGGCCCTCCTGCTGGCAGCAACGTGGATATGCACAGCCTCGCTGTGGCTGCTGCAGCCGCTGCCGTTATTCTAAGGCAGGCCGCAGCAGGCACAGGGAGGCAGTGCTCCCAGCGAGACATGGAGATCCTCATGGGGGCCATGGGCGCGAGAGCGAGCTCGCAGATGGGGGCCACCGGCGGCGGCAGCATGGGCACTGGCAGCCGCGTGGCTGCGGACTTGCTGGAGAGCTTGAGGTCGGCAGAGAGGGCTGCCAGAGGGGGTGATGGAGCAGCGGTGGAGACTTCCGCTGAGGATGCTGCAAGGGGGGGAATGATGGGGAGAGGAGAGCAGTTGCGGGTGGATGAGCATGGGTGGGAGGGGCGGGAACAGGGCGCGCTGGGCGTCAGTGGAAGGCCACGGCATTGGCAGGGACAGGGACAGGGATTCGTAGGAGAGGGGCCAGGGCTGGGAGCACTTGCGAGGAATCCAGGAGTCGTTGGTGGAAGGGGGCATGCAATTGGGCAGGAAGGAGGAGAGGCGGGAGTGAGCAGTCCTGGATACTATCTGGGAAGGGCTGTGGCCCAACAGCACCAGCAGACTCGTAGAGCCGGCTCGTTCCAGGAGACTGTATCAGCTGCTTGGTCAGAGTCCCCCGGTTCTGACTTGGATGCTGCAATGTGGGAAGGAGGGCAAGTGGAAGGGGGAGGACAGGGAGGCACAGCCAGAGAAGGGAGTGTGGAGGTGGAAGGTGGTGTGGACAGTGAGCTAGAGAGGTTCTTAATGGGAATTGTGACTGGATCAGGGGTGACTGAGGATGATGAGAGGAGCAGCCCTCCAGGCGGAGATGCTTCGGGGAATTAAGCCACATAAGGTAGTATGGAGATTGCCTTGATGGACACAATTACGGATGGATGATACATGCTGAATGGAGCATGCACGAAAAGGCTATGTTGGATGCTAAGGCGACTATTAGCCCACGTTATGCTAACCAATTCTTAATTGTTTGACATCTAGGCCAACGTCCTTCTAACTGTTCGAAGTTTTTATTGAAAGGATGATGAGAGTAGCTTCATACGGTATTTTTGCTACTTGTACAAATTCCAATAAACCTCGAATATTCGCACGACGAAATACATCGCTAGCTCGTAATGACTGAGATATGTCGTTTGCTGTGTCACGACGACTCACGTGTCCCAGTCGTCCCCCTTTGGCTAATGACTGGCTCGCCTGGGATCATGGCGCACGAACTAAAGCTGGCCCTCATTGGTCAGCCTCCCACAGCTTTGTGGAGGGTCTGCGCAAACTGCACCTCTGGGGGAACATGCGAGGTGTGCAGAAACAGCTTGTTTGTCACACCCCATCCCCCCCTATCCCCCCACTTTCCCCCCTTCCCCCCACTTCTCCCCCCCACCCACAAGCCTTCCTTTCCCCTTCACATTCACGTAGACAACAAAACTTGCAGTCCATCCACCCTCTCCCCCCACAACTTCGTTCTCTGCTTCCAGAATCTAGGCGGGCATCTGCAGACCAATACCTGCGCAGCGCAGGGAGGAGGTGACATTACATGTTGCCTCGTGCTTGCTCCAGTCCGAAATTCGTCAGGCGGTGCTCTCCGGTACAGCTTCTGTGCCGTGTGCGTGGACTGGCGGGTTTTCTCTGACTCGTTCGAGGCGCTCGCACACGCGTAGCTCACTTATAGTTTCTATCGCTCAGTATCACCGTCGATTCGCTCGCGAACATCCGCCGCCATGGCAAGGTGAGCGGCTGTTGAAAGGCGGTTATTGAAAGGCGGTTATTGAAAGGCCACCATTGAAAGGCGGCGACGACCCGAAACTGATCATTCCACGCGCGTCGACCCCTTGCCTTGCGCGTATCTGAATCCCTTTCCGTGACTGGCACAGACGCAGACGCAGACGCAGACGCAGATGCAGACGCAGACGCAGACGCAGACGCAGACGCAGACGCAGACGCAGACGCAGACGCAGACGCAGACGCAGACGCAGTCACTCACTTGCATTGCAGCAATCTCCGCGTCCTTCTTCCCTTCATACCTCTCTAGCATCTCCCTCTCGGCCTCTCTCCCCGCGTCAACCAGCCCCGCTCTCCCCTCCCCCCTTGTCCACCCGCCTGCGCACACCCCGGTTCCTGCCGCCGAATCCGCTTTCGCCCTATTCACATTCCCCCCCTTGAGTCCGCACTCTCTTCCCTCCCTTACCCCCCCCTTCCTCCCCCCGCCCCCCCCCCCCCCCGCCGATGTCTCCGCGCCCCAGCTGGTGGACGCTCCCTGCTCGCGCCGATCCCCCGGAGCCCCCGCCCAGTGCGCCGGGAGCGGTGCTCGCGGAAGGTGCTGAGAAGGATGGCCCTTCCCTTAACGGACAGGTAGCTTTGTGGAAACTCTTTTACCCGTCGCTCTATCTCCCCCGCTCTCCCTCCCGCATGCACACACCTGCTCGCATGCACGCACACCCACATGCTCGCATGCACGCCACTCGCACGCTTGCTACGCACATGCCCACCCGACCAAGCACCCTCTGGGCCAGATGGACGCACACCGAGATATCATTGCGCTGTGCTGAGCATGCACGCGAGAGTGACCTACCATGTGCATCAACCACGGCGTAACTTGTGAAAGGGTATGCCTGCTGTTTGGTGGATGATGGATGATGGGTGATGGATGATGGATGCGTGTGCTTGTGCATTTCTCAGAATGGCGTCCACGATGCGACAACTGGCGCCGTTGGTACCGACACACAGGGAGCACCAGCTGGTGGGGGGGGGGAGAAGCAGCAAGGGGCGGAGAAGGAACGCGGGGAGGCAGACACTACAGTCGCCATTACGCCGGCCAAGGGTGCATCCCTGCAACCTGCTGATCCTTGTTGCCCGCCCTGCCCCCTGCTGTCTCTTTCCAGCCTTCCGTCTTGCCCCTCTTCCCGTTTTCCCCTACCAACCGCCCTTCCCTCCCTCCCCCCACCACATTCCCCCTCCCCTGCTCTCTCTTTTTCCCTATGGCGCCTTTTGCATCCGTTCACTCGTTCTCTCCCTCTCCGGTCCCTTCCGCATTCCTTCTCTCGTTCTTGTGTGCGTTGTGCGCTCCTCTACGTGTCTCGCTGCATCCATTGTCACAACCTGCTTCTGCTACTCACCCCCTCTCCTCCTCCCCTCCTCCCCTCGTCCCATCGTCCCCTCATCCCCTCCTCCCCTCCCCCTCCTCTCCTCCTCCCCGTGTGTTCCCCTTCAGAGTCGAGTGCCGCCAGCCCACCACCGCCGGCAGCAGCACCAGCAGGCACCTCGTGAGATCCTCTCCCAGAATCCCTCCCACTACCCCTTTCACCAGTGCATAAACCTTTGTTACCTCTATCTACTCCACCACTCCTTCTCACCTGCGCCCACCACACCTCACCTGCGCCCAGCACATCACCTCTTTCACCCCCTTCGCTCCCCTTCCACCGCCTCCTCTCCCTGTCCCTTTCTCGCCCAGCTCCCCATCGTCTCTTCCCCTCCACGCTCTCTCTTTCTATCCCTCCCTCCCTCCCTCCCTCCTGCCCAACTGCATCCCCCTCACAGCTGGCTCCGCACCCTCTCAGGCCATCTGCTAATGCTGGACCCAATCTCCCCTTCTCTTGCTCCCGCTGCTGCTGCCCAAGCCGACCCGCCTGCTCTCGCCCCTCTTCCTTCCCCTGCTGCCGCCGCTGCCGCTACTGCAACTGCTCCTACGGGGCTGTCACTTCCTTCCCCTGGGCTATCCCCCTCCAAGCCTCATGCTGCCGCTCACTCGGGGCCAAAGCAGGATGATGTGATTCCGCCTCTTCCGCCTCTTCCTCCACCTGCTGCTGCTGCTGCTGCTGCTGCTGCTTCTGTTGCATCGGCCGTTGCTCCTGTGGCTGAGAGCAAGGCGGATTCATCCGCTTCCTCTGCTTCATCTGCAATGGCTCCTGTGTTTGAGGCCGTGTCGGCTCACGATGCTGACGCTGCCCAGGTGCCACGCTCTGCCCTGTCTTCTAGTCCGCCTCACAATGGCTTGCTTCTGCTGCGTATGCTGCTGCTTGTGCTTTGTGCTTGGCCGGCTCTCTCTTCCCGACCAGCTTGTTCTAGCTGCTGGCTGGTCATCCTCGCCTCCAGGGCTTGTAGCCCTACCACCCCACGGAATGAAAGTCTCTCAGCCCCAAATGACCCGGCTGCACCGTTCCATTGGACGACCCCATTTATCCCTTCCCTCTCTCCCTCGCCTTCTCTTTGTGCGTCGTCCCCCATCTCTGTTCAGGAGGACATTGCAGCCGCAGCAACCGTCACCAGCAACGGCTCTGAGGGCAGCACCCCCAGCACTGGCAAGGACGGTGGGTGGTGGGCAGGAGGGGCGGAAGGGAGGGAGGGAGGGGGGGAGGGAGGGAGGGAGGGAGGGAGGGAGGGAGGGAGGGAGGGAGGGAGGGAGGGAGGGAGGGAGGGATTGTACAGGGAGGGAGACTGTAGAGAGGGATGCTTGAGGAAGATCCAGTGTCAGGAGCAAATCGCCTCTCTCGGCCCGGGGCCGTGATAGGTTTTGAGAATTCTCAAGAAGGTTTTCGAGAACTATCTTGTTTTTTTTTGTTTTTTGTCTCAAAAACCAATGCACTGTCAGGCAGAACAAATCGCTTCTCCTTGGGAGGGACCAGGTTGGGGATTCCCGTGTGCCAACGAATCGTATCTATTCTCCAAGCGTTTCCCACTCTCTTAGGCCACACCTCTCCCCGCCCTCACCTCTCTCACTTTTCTTCCCTCCACGCCTCTTTCCCCACATTCCTTCCCCAACTCCCCCGCCCCTCCTTCCCCACCCAAATCCTTCCCCTGCAGTATCAGACGTCCCTCCTCCCTCTGGCGCCCAGTCTTCCCCTCTTCTCTGGTGGCTCCCAGGCACTGCCCCTTCTGCATCCTCCTCCTCTCTCCCCTCCTCCACGCCTCCTGCTGCTGCCCCTTCGGATGCTGCTGCCACTACCACTGAGAATGCTCCTACTGCTGCTACCAGTGAGCCTTCAGAACATGTGGTCACTATACCGGCCTCTGGGGACGCACCTCAATCGGAAGATAATGTTGCTGCTGCTGGTTATGCTGGCGGCGATGCTGCTGGGATCGGTGGTGGCGGCGTTGGTGTGGCCGTTAATCCTGAAGCACAGGACTCGCTGCGTCAGCCCCTGTTGCCAGGTTAGCACCACTCAGCCTACCACACACACGTGCACGCGCGCGCGCGCACACACACACATGGCGTGGTACTTTTTCTAAAAAAAATCTCAGCGTGGAACATCTAACGCACTGCACTGTAGTAAAAATCACTACAACACACAAAACCGCACAAAAACCCTTTCAAAGTTCAAACTCAAGGTTTTTTTGAACAAAATGTGTCCTCACCTCACCTCACCTCACCTCACCTGGCACTTCTCATAGCGCTCTCTCCTAGGCTACCTCCTCCCGTGCCACCCGTTCTCCTGTATGCACGAGGAGCCTCACGAGCTGCCTCTCTTGCCTCCTCCGTCTCGCTCCCATGATCCCATCTTGCCAAACCCATCACATCCCTGTGTGCACTGCTCGTGCCACCTAGCCATGCCTCAAAGCTCCTCAAACCACCCCATCTGATCCCTCCACCAACCCCAGCATCAGGCACAGCAGAAGAACCATCCGAGGCACATCAGGCAGAGGCACAGGCAGAGCAGCGGCAACAGGAGGAGGAGGCAGAGGAGCAGAACGAGCTGCAGCGGTGGGCGGCGGCAGTGGGGTGGGGCGAGATGATGGGCGCATACTCGGTGCTGCACACGGACGACAACACGGACGTGCACCTCTACTCGCTGCACGTCACCCGCGGCCTCGCCATCCTCGTATGCCATTCCGTGGTCAAGTAGTTTAGTTTTGAGACGTCTCAAAACGGCCTCGCCATCCGCGTATGCCATTCCTCACGCTTATCATTGCATTGCGGTCCCTGCCTTCCACCTCTTGAGACGTCTCAAAACTCGCCATCCTCGCTGCGTATGCCATTCTTCACTGCGTACCATTGCACTGCGTCAGTCACCGCCTTCCTTCTCCCGTCCATCTCCCACCTCTCCCTCCAACATTTTCTTCTACCCACAATGTCACGCACGACACACGCCCCCCCTCCCTACCACTCCCCACTACTACTCCCCCCTCACTTCCCCACCCTCCGCCCTCCCCCCAGGGCCTCCTGCTCTGTGCGTACCTGGGTCCGTCCGTGCCTGCCTTCGCCCCCTCGCCCTGGCACGGGCTGGCCCTGCCAGACCTGCCGCTGCCGCTGCTGCTCTACACCGTCGGCCTCTCGCTCGCCCTTGCTTACACAGTGAGTCGTCACGGCATGCATTCGTTTGGAAGCAGGCCCATCCGTACACGCACCCACGCATGCATGCATACATGCATGCATGCACCTCGGGGCTGTGAGAGGTTGTAGGCATCTCTTGGTCAGGATGTATTGCAAATTGCTTTCCCTTCCATCACCCCAAACTTTCTTACCCCATCTCACACCCCCACATATATCACCCCCACCGCACCGCACCACTCTCCTCTGCGCAGCAAGTACCGAGCGTGCTGGCGGCGAGCAACAAGGTGTACATCCGGTTCTGCAAGGTGTTCTACCTGGGGTACTTCCTGCAGGGCGGCTTCCTGCACCCCATCGGCGAAATGTCCTTTGGCGTCTCCCTTGAGAACACCCGCTTCTCCGGCATGCTGCAGGTGTGGTGAACTGCCTTTCTTTGCACGCCCCTCACCTCACCACCCCTCACCACCCCTAACCACCTGTCAACGCCCCTCACCGCCCCTCCTCTTCCCGCCGAGACGGTTCCATCATAAGCTGCATGCTCGTTTTAAAGTGCGACCCTATCATCCAGTTTCTCCTCACGCTTCGCTTTTTTTCTATGCCCATACATCCTCACATCTTCACATCCCCTCATTCGCACATCCCCCGTGTTCTCATGCACCCTCAACCTTCTCTCACCATCCCCGCGTTGCCTGTCCGCCTATCCTCCTGTCCTCCCTATCCCTCTGTGGCAGCAAGTGGCGGCAGCGCTGTTGGTGGTGGGGGTGTCGGAGGTGGCGGTGATGAAGCTGTACCGGGGGGCCAGGCGCCCGCCCGGCGTGCACCACCACGCACTCGGCTTCCTCATCAACTGGTGGGGTGGGGGCTTCCCTAAGGCAGTGTGCTGCGTGCAGCGTGCAGCGTGCTGTGTGCTTCCCCGTGTGCACTGTGTCGTACACCACTGCGTTGCTTCCTTGGCGTCTCTTGCTGTTTTAGCAACCCTTTGGTTGCCGCCGCAATTGTCCCTCCCTGCCGCTGTATGGTCTAACTGTAAAAACCGAGTCAATTGCTCCGCTTTTGCTTTTCCGCAGTGAGTGTGCATTCCCTACCCCGACTCACTGCTCTGCTCCCCTGGCCTCTCATCTTCCCTTCCCTTCCCGTCCCTTCCCTTCCCTTCCCTTCCCTTCCCTACCTCTGGCCGCCTCTTCCCACACTCCAAATTCCAACCCCCCTGCCTGTGCGCGCTCATGGCTTCCCCTCAGGTGCATCGCCCTACTGCTGGTCCTGCTGTACGCCTCCGTCTCCTATCTGCTTGCTGTTCCCTCCTACACCGTCACCACCATCGGCAGCAATTCCACCACCAGCACTCACCCTCTCCCCGGCCTAGCTCCTGCTGCATTCGCTTCCAACCAATCACAACGTGCCACGCTGCATCCCCAGCAGTGGGAGGACGTGGAGGGTCGGCGGAGGGTGCTGCTGGGGGAAGGCATGGGTGGTAGCATGGAAGTGCATGTGAGTAGCAGCAGCACTCTTAGCAGCAGCAACGATGCATGGAACCTTTACCGTTCTCCTTTTTCTGACTTCCATGCCTTGGTGCTTGTCCACCTGTTTGCTGTGCATCAGCATCAGCACATAACCGTGCATGATATGGTCACGTACATGTCTCTCGCTTCCTCCACTCCCTCTCTCTCTTACCCCTGTCCCCCCGCCCCTCCCCCTCCTACCACCGCATGGCATGCAGTGCGGCACGAGGGGCAGTTTCTCCCCGGCGTGCAATGCAGCGGGGTACATCGACCGCGTTGTCATGGGCCCCCACCACATGCTGTCCACGCCTCCCTTCTACTCCCTGCCTGTCAGTGCCTCTATCCCTCCTCCTCTCATTCTCCTCCTCTGCTCATCCTCCTCCTCCTCTCATCCTCCTCCTCTCATCCTCCTCCGCTCACCCTCCCCCTCCTCCCACCCTCCCCCTCTTCCTATTCTTTCCACTTCCCTGCCTGTCACTCCCCCTTCTCCACTCACCCACCTGTTAGTGATGTTCTCACAACTGCCATGCCCCCCTCTTCACCGTTCCTCACCTCTTCCACCCATCCCGTACCTCCGCATGCCACACCTTGCTAGCCTGTTTCCTCTGCCTTTTCGCCTCTCCCCTTTCCCCCCTCCCGTCACTTTTCTCTCGTCTTGCTCTCGATCGTCTCATCTCTCCCTCTCGATCTCCCCGTCATCCTCTCCATGCCCTCCCTTCATGCCTCTCCCCCCATGCCTTTGCAGGAGTGCCAGCGCGCATCTCCCCTTCCCCCTGCCTGGTGCCAAGCGCCCTTTGACCCACAAGGCCTGCTCAGGTACTTCTGCTCAGGTACATCTGCTCAGGTGCATCTGCTCAGGTGCATCTGCCCAGGTGCATCTGCCCAGGTGCATCTGCTCAGGTGCATCTGCTCAGGTGCATCTGCTCAGGTACATCTGCTCAGGTGTATTTGCTCAGGTATCTCTCATGCCTTGCCCCTCATTCCACCTACTGTCCCTCTCCCATGCCATCGTCCTCCCCCTCACACCCATTCCGCACCCCACAGCACGGTGGGCGCGTGCCTGGTGGCCTTTGCAGGGCTGCATCACGGCCACCTCCTGACCTACTTCAACGTGAGCCCACCCGCCGCACATCCTTGCACAGATGCGTTGCACCACCAACGCCCTGACTGACAGGGTTTTTCTTAGGATTCTCAAAAGCACACGGCCGGCCACCTCCTCACCTTCCTCAACGTGAACTCACCCTCAAATCCATGCGTACATGCATTGCTACAAAAACCTTGTGGATTCACAACAGAAAGGCATTGCGCCACTGCTCTTCCTCCTCCCTCCTGATTTCCACCCTCTGTCCATCCTTCCCCTCCATTCCATCACCCCTACCTTCCATCATTCTTCCCCCAATCCCTCCTTGATTCCCCTCTACCTCCCCCCACTCCCCTCTACCCCCCTCTACACCCCTCTACCTCCCTCTTCTCCCCTGTCCCCCAGACTCACTCCTGGCGTCTCGTCCGTTCGCTGCTCTTAGCAGCCGTGCTGCTAGTCACTGGACTGCTGCTGCGCATGCCACTGCCTGTGCCCCCTTCCTCCCTGCCTCCGTTCCTGCCGCACTCACTGCTCTCAGGTGCTCCACTCTCCAACCTCCTGTGTGCCTGTTGAGCGGTCTTGAGTGTTGGGCAATCTTGCGTGTTGTGCGGACTTGGGCGTTGGTTGGTCTTGAGTGGTGGGCGGTCCTGGGCGTTGGGCGGTCTTGAGCATTGGGGGGTCCTGGGCGGTGGGAGGTCTTGGGCGTTGGGCGCAAATCTCGTCTGCCCTGCCTTGGCACTCTGGCCTGCCGTTCCACCGTCTCTCACACGTTCTCACCCCTTTGCCTGCTCTTATCTATCCACTTTGATTCGCTTTTCTCATCTGATCTCATCTCGGCTCATTTTATCTCATGTCTCCTCCTTCCGCCTCCCTGCAGGCATGCCTTTCAATCCGCATCTATTCACCATCAGCTTTGCAGCCGTCGCTGCTGCAGTCTCTTGCTTCCTCTTCTCCTGCTTCTTCATTCTTGTATGTGCACTCATCTCTTGTCTGAATCTCTTGCTTCCTCTTCTCCTGCTTCTTCATTCTTGTATGTGCACTCATCTCTTCTTGTCTGTATCTCCTGATCCTTTTACCTGAGTCATCGTATGCGTATCAATCGCATAGGCTTATCCCCCTTCATGTGCCGCTGCTTGTCTTTGACTCCTCTCCTCTTCTCCTGGCTACCTTTCCCACGTGTTCTCCAGACTCCACGTGTTTCCCACATGTTTATTACGTGCTTCTTCCTCCCGAGTGCATGCCTCCTCACAATGCCTCATCCCCCCCCCCTCCACACCCCCCCCCCCCCACCACACTCCAGACTGACATGTACACGTCTGCACGCTCGTTCCTGGCCCCTCTTGCGTGGCTGGGGCGCAACCCGCTGTTTGTGCTGGTGCTGGGCGTGTGTCGCCTGCTGGACCTGCTGCTGGCGGGCTTCTACGTCAACAACGACCCTGCCAGTAACCTCGTGCGTTGTGGCCCCTCGCAACCCTCCCTCCCTCCCTCCGTTTTCAGCGATGGTCCTCTTGCCCTGGCTCCCGATTGCGCTTCCTCAATGGCTATCATCAGCACTCCTTACCGCCTCTCTTCTTCCACCATGCACATCCATGCTCGTCCCTGCTCACCCATGCTCACCCATGCATGTGCATCCCTGCCCCCTCTGCTCCCCTTCCCCCATTCCAGCTCTCTCTGCCCTATGCCTTTCTGGTTGGGGCATTGGGCAGTGAGTCTCTTGCCACTGCTGCTGCTGCCTTCCTGGGCTGCCTCTTCTGGTGCCTGGCTGCTGGCCTCACAGTGCGATATAAGCATATCTGGACCTTCTGATTACGGCCGATAGGTAGGTGCAATTGTCGTGTTGCACGTGCATTGTGTCAACATATATTTGTATATGTTATTGGCTAGATAGGTGCATGCTCATAGAGAGTACAACACCTTAGGACAAAACCACCCTGTATCACTCATTCTAGTTCATTCGTTACTCTGAGATGGTATCATGCGCTAGGTTAGGTCCTTCCCGCCCACTCGCGGTTCCGCTCTAGTCCTAGTCCTAACCCTAGTCGCCCGTCGCTAGCCGGCCGTTGTTAGCCGCCCGTCGCAAGCCGCCCACTCCTAGCCGCACGTCGCAAGCCGCCCACTCCTAGCCGCACGTCGCTAGCCGCTCGCAGTTCACCGCTGCTGGCCCCCCGTTGCCTCGTGCCGCCCTTAGCCGCTAGACAACTGTAGCCGTTGGCCGCCCGTAGCGGCCAGCCGCCTGTAGCCGTTGGCCGCCCGTAGCTGCCAACCGTCCGTCGCCACCGGCAGCCCGTAGCCCCGCGCTCGTCGGCCCTAGCTCGCCGGCCCCCTACTAGCTCGCTGGTCTGCGCTCGCCGGCCCCTAGCTTGCCGACCTCTTGCTCGCCGGCCCCCAGCTCCGCCATCCCCAGCTCCGCCGGCCCCAGCTTCGTCGGTCCCAGCCCGCGTCGCCCCCGCATCGTCGATCCGCCGAGTCGTCGCGCCACCAGGCCGCAGTGCCGCCGTGATGCTGTGTCGCTGAGTCGCCGAGCCGCTCTGCCGCCCCGACCTGCCGGGCTTGGCTCCCCTCTGAGCCGGCGCTCCCACCAGCTGTCTCTACCGCTCTTCACCACTCTCCACCTTTCTCCACCGCACTCCACCGCACTCCACTGCACTCCACCGCTCTCCACTGCTCTCCATCGCTCTCCACCGCCCTCCGCCGCTTTCCTTCCCCTCCTGCGGCAGTCAGCTGCTGCAGCTGTGGTGATGGCGGAGTCTGTGCTCCGCCTGGACGCGGAGGGCCGGGCGGTTGATTTTGAGGCGTGGCTCGTTGACCTCCGCTGCCAGCTGACCGTTCAGCGCCAGGACGGCTACTCCCTGGCTGTCCATGCCGACGGTAAGCTCCCCTGCCCCGCCGCGCCTGCTGCCTTCCCTGATGTCCCCACGTCTGCTGAGCGTGAGGCCTTTGCCGCTGCTGACCTTGCCCGCGCTGTCTGGGAGTCGCGCGACGCTGTCGCACAGCTTGCCATTAGTCATGCCCTCCCCCTATCTAAGCGTCCCCGCTTTACCGCCGTAGCGAATGCGAAAGAGTACTTAGATGCCGTCATTGCGCTATTCCACTCCCTCCTCCGCCTCTGCCGGCCGTCTGATCCTCCCCATGCTATTCCCTGATCTTGCGTCCTTCCCCACTGTCGTTGACCTTGCCACCCATCTCCGCGCACTTGAGACTAGCTACCGCGCTGCTAGCACTAAGGCGCAACTCACTGCATTCCCGCCGCCGCTTTGTGCTACCCTTTACCTCATTGCCACATGCCTCCCTGACCGCCTTGCCACTGCCCGCGACCACTTTCTTAGTCAGCACCCAGGTGACCTCACCCTTACCGCCTTTGTCACCGCCCTATCCGCGATAGAGACCCGTCAGCGCACTATCGCCCAGTCTAGCGGTACTGAGGCAGTCCCTATCTTCCAGGGATGTGCTCCCTCCCAGTGCACTTACTCTGACGTTTCTGCTGCTGTCGCTGAAACAACCCCTTCTGCTGAGACCGCCGACGCGGCCTCAGCGCAGCCGCATTAGGGTAATGGCCACTGCCCCAAGGGGGGGCGTGGCGGAGGGACGGGTGGCAGGGGTGGCGGGGGTGGCGGATGTGGCGAAGGTGGTGGCGGGGACGGTGGTGATGACGAGGGGACCGGGGCTGATGCCCCGGAGCAGTAGCAGCAGCAGCAGTCGCAGCAGCAGCAGTCGCAGCAGCAGCAGTAGCTGCCGTGGGGACCCCCGCTGCCGTGGTGGTCTGGCGGCGCTGGTGGTGGTGGTCGTGGTGGTGGGCCGCGCAGCTCGATGTCGGGTGGCGGCTCCAGTGCGGTCACCTGCCAGTTCCAGTTTCAGTCCGGCCGCGCCCCGCGTCGGACGCTGCCCCGCTTCGTCTACTAAGAGTCATGCGACACCCCACCGCGGCACCGTAGGCGACCGTCGCGGTCACACCGCCGCCTGCTACTATCGTCGCCTTGACGACCGCTTCCGTCTCCGCTTCAGCCCCGCGTCGGACCCCCCCCCCCCCCCGACTGGTACAGCCTGGTGCGTCGCCGTGTACCTGGTTTGAGCTGGATATGGATCTGATTAGGTCTACACTGTATGTAATGTATGCGGATGACTCTAGTGTGACTGGACCTTATTACCTGTGTTGCCTAGTGTAGGTGTGCCCACTGTGTGCAATCTAGGCTCCCCTGCTGCGTCAGGCGTAGGACCACATGCAATCTAGGCTCCCCCCCGGTGGGAGCGTCCCCCCTGGTCGCCGCGCGGTTGCTGCGGCTTGCTCGTGTCAATCGGTCATTCATCCGTCGCTGCTGTGGCACCAGTGCTTAGGTCACCCCGCACCACCCGTCTGCGTCACATGTCCCATCACAGTCTAAACTTAGGTCTCCCTGCGTTGCTCCCTGCCCTCCCTTCCTCGCCTGCACTGCCATGCATGCCCTGCGTCGAGGGGAGGGTGCGCCGTGCTCCTCACTCCTCCTCACTTTCCCCTACCATTGCGCCACTCCAGACCCTGCACCTGGACGTTTGGGGCCCAACACCCATCCCTGGGCGCATCGAGAGTGCTACTTTCTACAGACCCTGCACCCGGGGCCCGTGTGTGTCCAAAGCGCCACTCCAGACCTTGCACCTGGACGTCTGGAGCCCAGCCCCCGTCCCTCGGCCCCGTCCCTGCTCCGCTCTCACGTGTTTTGTCCTCCCCTCCTCCCGTCGCCTCCTCCGTCGTCGCTTGTTGTCGCTCTGCCTCCCCTTTGTGACTTCCTTCGTGCAGCTAGTCCTCTTGTTCCACGTGTTCTTGCCTCTCTCGCTACCGACCCGTCCGTTCCTGTCTCTAGTCTTGACGCTCATGTCACTGTCGTTGCTGAATTTGCCTCTATGCGCCGCCTTAACTACGCCACCGCTCTGGTCTCTGACCCTGTTCGTCCTCCGTTCGTCGGGGATGCTCCTGCCCTTGGCACTGACGTCCTAGAGGACCGGCAGTACGAGCTTGCTTTCCTGTCCGAGGCCGCTCCCCATCTCTGCTCCATGCTGCTAGTCCCTGAGGGTGACCCAGACGCCCTTAACATCCCCACTCCTCGCAATTACGCCGAGGCGACCTCGGGACCCTGGGCCTCTCAGTGGATAGCTGCCATGGACGCGGAGATGGCATCTTGGAGATCCACGGGCACCTACATCGATGCATTTCCCCCACGTGGGGTGAACGTAGTCGATGGCCGGTGGCTCTTCAATGTGAAGCGCCTTCCTCGAGAGCCGCCGGTGTTCAAGGCGCGCTACGTTGCTAGAGACTTCAGTCAGCACGAGGTTGTTGACTTCTTTCAAACCTTCACCCCGACCCCGAAGTTGACCACTCTCCGGGCGCTACTTCACGTAGCAGCACAGCGTGACTACGAGCTGCAATCCCTCGACTTCTCTACAACGTTTTTCCAGGGCAATCTGCACGAGCAGGTCTACCTGCGCCGTCCGCCCGGCTTCACCGACACCTTTGCCCCTGATACCCAAAGGCTCCTCCGGCGCCCGGTTTACAGCCTGCGGCAGGCGCCCCGTGAGTGGCACGACACGCTGCGTGTTACATTAGCTGACCAGCAGTTCTTCCTGTCGTCTGCAGACCCCTCTCTCTTCGTTTGTTCAGTGTGAGAGGATGAGGCTTGCCGAATCCTTGATCACAACAATTTGTCATCTGCTATTTATTGTGTGTTATTTTGTGTGTTTTCCTTTTTTTGGAAATCCCTACACTCTTCCCTACACATTGATATATTTCGTATACTGTATATCATATGTGTTACGGAGTGTTTCGGTCTTTCCTTACATTCTATTGCGTGGAATGTTCCGTCACATTCAACGTATCTCTAGAATCCTTACCGTGCTTCTAGGTGGTGTTCCTACGGACGGTTCTACTAATTTCTAGAACTCTCTTAGAAGGTCCTAGTTGCCCTTCCCTAGAGTTATCGTATGTATAAATAGCATTGACTCTTTGCTTGTAGACATTCAATTCTTGATTAGTATCATTCAAGATTCAGCTAAATCCTGGACCTGGGACACTTGGTAATCAAAGCACAAGGTTTCCGATCAATGCTTACTCGCCAGGCCTCTAGGAGGACGCCGAGGATGGAGTCAAACTTTTCGATCGCGTAGGTAAATCATGTTTTCTTACTAAGTTCCGACAAACCTCGAGCAGTTGCGCATAGGGTCCCCAACCGTTCGATTTTCAGCATCGACGGAGCTGATTTTCCAGTGGGGCCCTCGCCAATGTGAAGACGTCCCAGAAGTACCTGCACTAAAATCACAAGTGTTTTCTGCCCTCCGAAGCGATCGACGGTAGCGGGTGGAACTTACCCTGCGACGTTTTCCAAGAATTTCCAACTTCGCCACAAATCTTGGAGTCTCGCCAGCGACGATCTACGACAGCCGTCTGATAATCGGCGACTACGAGTTGCCGTTGAAAACAAGTCTACTGTAACCTTCGACGCAACTGAACGAGCCTCAAGAATATTTTCAGATCGCTTGGAGTTGGACCGTTGGATCAAAATTGAACCAGCAGACCACATGAGGCGCGCGTTTCTTCAGTACAAGAATTTGACGACGAGAAGCATATATACGCGGATATCAACTCCGACGACTGAACATCCGAAGTTTCCGCTAAATCCTAGACCTGTGACATTCTAGCCAGACCCCATTTTACATCCTTGTCTATGTAAACCATCTGGTCTTTGCTACTACATGCAGAGACGCACTGGCCTCCGTGAAGGCTGAGCTGCTGAGTAGACACACCTGCACTGACCTAGGAGAGTTGCGCCGCTACCTTGGCCTGCAGATCTCCAGGGACAGAGCAGCGCACACCATCACTCTGACACAGTCACACTTGATGCGCCAAGTCCTTCAGAGGTTAGGTCTTCAGTTCTCCTCTGCACAACCCACACCTCTGCCAGTAGATCACATGCTCTAGTCTCTAGTCCC